TTCCAGATTTTCGGCAAAAGGAAGCAGGAACCCAAACCAGCAAAGAACCGGGAATCGAGCCTTTGACCCCTTTTTTGCGAAATCGGCTCCCCGAAAACTACGTTTAGTGGAACGTCATTGAATTGTTATGCGGTTCTGGGGGGGGGGTGGGGGGGAACTATCCTTTTTTAGGTGTCCGAAACGCCGAGCAATGTCGGCGGATTATATAGCATTTTTTAGCGTGTTGGATGTTGTAATTAGGTTATTTTAAATTTGAATTTAGTATATAGAAAATTATATATATAATGATTTTAATTTTTATATATTTGGTTTTATAATTCGAAATTTATAGATAAATAATATATTTAATTGATTCGAACATAATATATATATATATATGTTATATTTATATTTGATTTTATATTAATTTTATTATTGATATTTAGAATTAAATTATTTATTTTATAATGAGAAATATATATAAATATATATAATATATATTTTGTTATTATATATATATTACAAATATATTTTTAAATAATATAGAATATTAGATATTAATCGATAGAATATTATATATTATTCCACCTTTCCTTTTTTTATATTCTTTTTGTTGATTATCCAAGTTTTTTGCCGCTCGGTTTTTAAGGATATGAAAAATAAATAATACTATCTTATTTTATCTTATATACCTTTCTATAATATCGATTTATGTCTGAAATTAATGATATATAAAAAGAATAGATTAGGAAAGAGATAATTCCCTAAGATTAAGATTGCCGGACCAGGCAGACATTGAAACACATGTTTTGAATTTCATTTGTGAAATATAGTGAAATAGTTTGTGAATTAAAATAATGAATAAAATATTTAATGAATCAAAATTGTGAATTGGGAAACATGGACTTGCAGATTCGCAAGTCCAATTTATTGAAATTTAGTGAATTTTAGTGAATTTTAGTAAAAATTAATGAAATTTAACGAATTTTCTGAAATTTAATGAAATTTTAGAACGAAATTCACTAAATTTCATCAAATTGGATTTGCGAAATTTAATGAAATCTAGTATAATTAGTTTCGCTAAATTTCACTAAATTTCTCTAAATTTCATTGAATTTCATGAAATTTCATTAGTTTTCACTAAATTGGATTTGTAGAAATTTAGTAAAATTTAGTGAAATGTAGTGAATCTCTTTCTAAAATTTCATTGAATTTAATTAGTTTCGCTAAATTTCATTAAATTTCTTTAAATTTCATTAATGTTCATGAAATTTCGTTAATTTTCACTAAATTGGATTTGTGAAATTTAGTGAAATTTAATGAAATTTAGTGAAATTTGATGAATCTTTTTCTAAAATTTCATTGAATTTAATTAGTTTCGCTAAAGCTCTTCAAATTTTCACAAATTTAATTAAATTTCATCAAGTATTTGCGAAATTTAGTGATATTTAGTGATATTTAGTGATATTTAGTGAAATTTAGTGAAATTTAGTGAAATTTAGTGAAATTTAGTGAAATATAATATAGGTTAGTTTTTGTTTTGTTTTTCCTAGTCACCTCGCCATATAAGCATATGTCCATTCACTATCTCCCATTCATTACTCCCATTCACTATTTCCATTCGCAATTGTTTTAATTTACTATTCCCATTCAGTATTTCGTTTGCTAATATTCACTAAATAATTATTTTGATGTTTCCAATCTCTACCTCCCAGCGGCAATCTTAACCCTGAGATTTCATGGTTAATAATCTTAAGGATATAAAAGATAAATAACAGGTGATTGGGAACGAAGGAAATCATCGGAGAAATCCATTCCAATTCAAATTCATGCTTTTCCTTTTATATTTATAATTAAGAATTTTTGACCATTGAAATCATCTAAAAAACATTCTATCTCTCCAAATTCTCTTCTTTATAACCTCCTCCGTCGACTTGATGGGACATAGCCAAGGGAAGGGAGAAAAAGACCATATGGTGGAAATAGAACCCTTTTATCTCCTTTTATCTCACCGTCCGATTAATCATTTTCCATCATCAATTATTCGTTCTTTTTCATCTCTTTCCTCTTTCCTTATCTCGTTTCTTTCCTGTTGATGAAACAATCCAAAAAACGAAGAAATAAGAAAGACAAAGATATATAAGAAAGGAATAGATAGGAAAGGGTGGCCTCGTCTTTCGACTATTATCATTTTTTCATCCACCTTGTATCCCCGACCAAGCCTTCGTGAATTAACTGGCTTCTAGGTAAGGTGAGGAGATGAATGAAGATATATCCCTTAATAGCCAATTTAAGGATTTCTCATTCTAATCGTCTCGCTTGAAATAATGAAGGAAAAAAAATGAGAAAAGAAGGATATAATTAATATAAGATAAACAAATAAATATAAAGAGAATAAAAATATAGGATAATTATTCCTGATCCAATAGATGATGGGTAATTCCAAGAATGGAAAGAATCTGGAAAGGATAGGATTCTTCTTAATATAATATTAAATCCTAAACAATCTAATAAATAATAAATTATAAGAATAAAGAAAAAATATGTATGAGGATAAAGATAATAAATTCTTAATATCAATAATATTTTCTCCATTGAAAATCATTCCAAAGAAAATAAGAATTATAGTTCCTAAAGAAAAAACAAAATGAACATATATTACAATATAATATATATTATATAATCCTCAATTCATTATAATATTTCCTAGAATCATTCCTATTAACCCACCTATAATAAATATTAATAAAAAGAGAAAAAAAAGAAGAACAAACAGAAAATAATTCTAAGGAATAATAAAGATGGATTGGAGAGATATATAAAAACCCAATTAACTATATTTATATCAATTAATAAAGATATTAAGATTGTAATTCCTATAAATAAATTCTTATATCATTTTCTAAATCTACAATATATATAGAAATATATATAATATCCCCAAATAAGAGAATGGTTCTCGATCGGAATAATTCCATTATTATTAATTTTATAATTGATTTTTATTCATAAATATAATATTATTACTTCAATTAATATAATATTTAATTGGGGAAACAAAAAAAAGAAACGACTAGAGAAAAATAATTACATAAAGAAAAGAAGAAACAACAACTTAGAGGGAAGAAATAAAGGAAATAAAGAAATATAAATAAATAATAATAAATAAACATATGAAATATTGAATAATAATATATTAAATGTATTTTAATATTGTATTGGATTAACATCTTATATATATATTGTTTATGAATTTATTTATTTCTCTTTTATTTCTTTATTAATTGAATTATATAATTTTTTATTTATATATCTATAATTAATTTGTGAATTAATATTATTATATTTTTATTATTTAAAATATTTAAATTCTTGTTTTTTCCTATTTAGTCCTTTCTTAATTACGAATTATATTATGTTAATTTTTTCGTGGGAATAGAATATATATTTTTATTATATAAAATTAATTATGGAATAGATTATACCAGATTATTCCATAATGCTAATTACGGCATATATTGTGCTATGTTTTTCGAAATATTTTATTTAGTCTGAGTCTATTTATCTCTCTCTTTATTTATATTTATATTTTTCTATCTATGATTTATCTGTTTTCTCTATCTATCTATCTATTATCTCTATCTTTCTTTCTATCTATTTATTTATCTATATATCGATTTTTTTATCTATCTATATTTTTCTATATATTCAATAATATGTTGATTGAATCCATAATTGTATATTAGAAATTGTCAATTTCATCAATCCAATAAATTCCTAAGATTTTTTAAAAAGAACATATCTAAAAAAATATAAAAACATTTTATCAACGATACGACCTACAACATATCATTACCAAAAAATACATTAATATTAATATTATTCCAATTAAGTAATATACATTTCATTATTAGAATTAATTTTCATATTAACTAAATTAATTATTTAAATATTAGTAATTACAATATATTTTTTCTCAAACTACATGCGTAATTCGGCACAAGATTAATCTGTAAAGTGGTTGGTCGTAATTATATATATAATATTAATCATAAATTATATATTTAATATATATATAAATAATTTTAAATATATCAATTTTATAATATATTATTATATATTTTTGTACTAAATTTAAAATGCATAATTATAAAAAATAACAAACGAATAATTCCAAAAAAACACAATTATAATTATATAATTAAAGATTAAACATATATTAAATACAAGAATTCAAACAATTGTATTATTGTCTTTATAATTCATTTTGTTAACATCTATTATTTCATTTATTATAAATATATATAATTTAATATTTTATATTCTATTATATTCAAATTTATTTAAAATTAAAGAAAAATAATATAATATTTATAAAATTGTATTTTTATTTTAGTTATTCCATTTTATTTATACCACTCATAAAATCGCCTTTTTGCATATATAAACAACAACATACAATATAATTTAAAAACCATAACCATATAAAAAAATACTCTATAAAAAATATAATTAATACTATATTATAAACATTTATAAAAAAAAATAGAAAAAACACCCCATCATCATTTTTTATTATTCATAATAAAAAATCATATTTGTATATAAAGCAAATCAATACAATTTAAATAATAATCAATTCTTTTATTCAACATCCACAATCCAAAATATATTTTTCAATTTAATAACCCAATTAAAATTAAAATATATAATTTTTTAAAATATATATATATATATATCAAATCTTCATAATTTAATCAATTATTTTTAATTTAAATCAATTATATATTATCTTTAAATTAATATATTATTCTAAGATTGAATTATTATAAATTTCCTTATAATAATGTATTGTTTGCAAAAATCCGATTTAATTCATTCAAATTTCAATTCAATAGTATTTTCTAATTTAAATATATAATTTATGTTTAAATAATTGTTATAATTGAACTAACCTAATTCTCTGTATTCAATATCATAAACACTCTGCAATGTCCAAACAACTGGTGGCGTTTTTCCAAGCCGCTGATGTCAGTGTCGCAAACATTTGGCGGCAATGAAACCAACAGCTGCGACAGCTGAACCACAGCCAGGTCTTCGATGGAGACAAGCTGCATTCTTCCTCAGCAGAAAGTCATAGAAAGTCCACAGTGCGATGCTGTTTGTGGAAAAGTCCGGTTGGGGTTCAAAAAATAAATGAACCCCGTTGTTAAAGCGTTCAAACAAAAGCTACCTTGGATGTTCGCTCGTCCATCACCATCCAAAGATGGATCAATCCGAACTGTGCAGTGCGGTCTGCGCCGTGTCTGAGTGGTGAGTGGTGAGTGGCGCATGGTCTAATGTGTGTGTGCGTGTGCGTGCGGCAGGACATATTTAACTATCCACTGAAAGCTTTGCTCAAGGTTGAATCCAGTGTTTTGTGAACTCCTTCACCAGCCAAGCCTCCGGCTCTGAGCTGGCTGCCCAAATATGGGAAGTTGAAGTCTTGCTGAACCTCACCAGCTTGCCCCGAAGAGCGGTTGATCTGGGGCTCCAGCCATCGGCGGAAATGAAACATGTCCTCGGCTTCAGGGACTCGATTTCGGAGCGTGGCGAGGGATGGGATGAGGGGTGGACTTGCAGCTGGCTTGCGCGAACCGAGCTATTCAGCACCCACACATACCCACACGCAAGGAACCGCAAAAAACACGTGACAGAACTATCAAAAAACACAATGCTCTGATGACAAAGCACGGTTGGCGTCAGCAAGCTGCTAAGGCATGAACTTTGCCTGTTGTCCAGCTCAATCCTGCGAGCGTCGCCAAGAAACGTGCTCCGCTGGCCTCTTGATAATTTGAGGGGTTTTGGTTTCAGTGGCAGTTGGGTCTGGTGAGATTTCTTCGATGGGTGTTGGTTTGGACATGAGGGATCACAAGCTGCTGTGCTGTGGTCCGACAGTGTGCTTGCTGTGACGAGCGGCGTGAGGGTTTTGCAACTTAGTCGCTCGATGTACCAAAACAAAAAAGCTAATGAAATTCAATTAAGGACTATGGCGATCACTGACAGCTGTATCGTATGGCGATGGCAGGCGAAATCCTGTCCTGACCCATCGTAGCTTCCAAGGAGCGTGAACATCCACTCCGAGCTGTATGCAGGAGGCTTCCATCAATGCGGCGCATGACTCTGTCCACTTTGAATCAAACGCCCTCCGTCGGGAAGAATGGTTCTGGTTCTCTGGCTGCCTTGAACGCCTTGGAGGTCGAGCTTCTGAGCCAGAACTTTGGCTCGTGTGAGAAGCTGCTGGCTCGCTGGGCCATGTGTCTGGCTCGCTCCTGGTCCCCCGCATCGTCTCTATCATGCGTGTCTTCCGCGTGCCTTCTGTAGCCCCAACATCGAACTCCTTCTGCATTTCGCTCTGCACTCCGCTAAGCAAAGACCACAACTGCTGAATTCGACCCTGCGCAAGCGTGCGCAGGCCAGACTCATGTGAAGAAACTTGCGCAACAGCAGTCAAGTCCACACACAACCTCACCCAGTTTGCTTTTAGCTCCTGCCTGGGCGCAAGCGAGGATGTCCTTTGCGTCGCCAGGACGACTCAGTTCTGACTTGGCGAGTAGCAAAGGCGCCTTGCAAACGCGTTGCGAACTCTGGACGCACCAAGGAACAACAAAATATATTCACACCAGGCTGTTGTGGCGGGCTGAAACTGAATTGCTGGGTTCCCTTTTTGCACGGAGCCTTGACTTGGTTGAAAACGAGAGCCACCGTCCGCTCCATCTGCTCCCTCCGGCGAACTGCCTCCAGCTTCTGCGTTTGCTGGTGCTCCTGCAGGCGGGTTTGACGCGTCTCACCAGCCCCAACTCAAATCAAACTACAACTGAACAAATCGACGCGTCAAGCTGAGCAGTTTTTTAGTGTTTGCCAATCGTTGCAAGCTGGAAACGAAACAGGGCCCTGGCCTCTCGCTTTCGAATGCGTCTGAGCTCGCCCTCCCATTCCAAGCGTCTCTCCCTCAGACGCATCTGGGAGTGATGTGTAAAGGCATGCATGGAAAAACCCACGACGAGAACAATCTTGATGTCCACCTGAAGGTGTGGGTTGGTGGTCGTCCAGCATGCGGACAGCGCAGCCAGGATCCATGCAACGTGCACGGCAGGATGGTTTCCCATACTTACCATGACCTGGGAATTAAAGACGAATGCGCACAATAAGTCGACCTCCGTGGCGTCAGTTGGCAGCAGCTTCTGCGAAATGAGGTTTTCGTACACCCGGCTAGTGTAAAGGATCATGAAAAATGAGAAAATTGCAAAAACAAAATCCACCCACATAGCTGCAGGTTGACTCGCTGCAACGCGCGAGATGATCAAAATCAGCGCTGCCACACCATGGTGGAGCAGCCACATCTGCCATGTCATTACAGACGCCAGCATGGTTGATATCTTGTAGAGGGCAACGAAGCCAAAAACTGCGAAAATGTAGTGCCTCTGCTGCCGCCGTGCATCTTCACAAAGAAATTCCGCCTCAACATTTGCCCTCGTGAGCCGAGTAACTTGGCAACGTGCTTTGAAAATTCTCACATACTTCACATGGGGCACATGCCAAACTACAGCAACACATTTGGTGACATATCATCTTCCCTGTAGGTGAGCCCGCCTCGGTGCTCCTGTCCCACCACACGCGCAGCCGCCTGCTTCCTCAAGACCAGCTGAAATGACACCAAGCAAACACGCCAAACAAACACTTCTAATGAGTGATCCCCCATCCTGCAACAACAATCCAATACCATGGGTCACACCGTTCTCACTAAACAAAACTGCTTTGGGACATTGTTTTTGCGCTCAAACTCCACAAATCCACAGTGAACTCAACCTGACCAAAACTTTGGTTCATGGCGCCCAGCTTCAGGAGCTGAGCTGATGCTCATGGATTTACATGTGCACTTCCTGACTTCAAAACACCGTGCGCCAGAGGTCTCCTCGCCGTGCGTACACCAGCCTTCCCCGAGCGTACGGCCAAGCTCCGCGCGTATGTCCGTGCTCCACACCGCGGCAGCCGCGCGCCCCGCGTGCGGGCGTGCTGCAGTGCGCCGCACATGCGCGTAACGGACGCGTTCCCCATGTCCAGCCGTTCTACGTCGCCGGCTCCTGTTTGTTCCACGCGTCCGAAAAGAAGTAAAGTGCGCGGTACATGTTACTTGTATGGGAATGGGTCGGGTGGCGCCTTTGATGCGCAGGCGCGGCACTTTGCCGAGTCACGCAAACCTCCGTTCTTGAAGCACTTTTCGTTCAAAAAAAAAGTCCGCCGCGCGCGCAGAATGGAGAATGCACGCCGAAACAGGGGCTGAGCGGCGACACGCTTCCCGCGCAACCACCGCTTTCCGCGCGTGCCACCGTGCTTCACGTCTTCCACCGTGCTCCGCGAATTGGGCGCTTCGGCAGCATTAGGGAAGCGTGCGTCAGGGCGCGCCCACGTAGTTGGGCAAGAATGAAACTACTTACGTGCGCGCGTGCCTGTGCAAGCGTGTGCGCAGCCCATCACCCGTCCTGATTGAAGGAAACCCTCGGCATTGCTCTGCCTGGGTGAATCATCTGAACGGTCTCCAGGAGCCTTGGAGGCAAGCGTGGATCAGACTGAAACTTTATTCTCATTGCAACATAGGCCATCAAAACCTGGCAGGGAGTAAAAAGACTTGCCATCTGGCGACCTGAAAGCATCCTGTGCGAATTCAGCAAATTTAAGCCCTTCCATATCAAGCAGTGAAACACTTGGTGTTGAAGACTTGTCAATTCCATTGCCGCCCCAAGGCAGGCCCAATGTCTGGGTTCCCAAACTCTATACGTCCTCTGTCCCTTCGGGCGTCTCTCCATGGCGCGGCGGCGAAACTCTGCCATCAGAAGGCGCCCTGCGGCAGTTGTCGGGCGCTATAGCTAGTTAGACTTGAGGAACGACAATGGACAAATGGAGAGGTAAGGGACTCGGTCAATTCAGTTTCCAACATCTTGAAAAGGGCTGCCTCTGCGAATTGAATGCCCCGGCTTCGCGGATGCTGCTGTTGGAACCAGGGCTTGCGGACGGCCTTCGTGACATCTTGCACATAATGCATGCCAAAGTACTTCCACCGCAACT